TATAGAGATTTGTGCTCCAGTTCTTTCCTTCTTCCCTGCTTTAGACATCTAAAAATGCAACTACTTCATGATTAGTCAAATAATCTCAACAGATGCAGTTGGAATCTTAAATCCCAGCACCTGTCCACATTATTATAAGCTGATCTTTACAGCCTGGCCAGAGAACTACTAAACCAGATCTATTTTCCCTAGACATCTGCCTGCTTGTAAGGCCTTTAGCAAAGAAGACAGCTGTTGACATTCAGAGCTCTGCTGAAGCCCCTGCTGCTATGCTAAAGCTTCTTTTGGCTTAATGCAGCAAGAACGGGAATGTATGGATTCAATTCAGTCGGAATCAGTAAGAAGGCAGCAACACTAAGCCAGTTGTTCAGGATAAGAGGAAGTAAGAGATGGGAAGAACACTTTGCGAGTGTCCGAAAGGATCTCCCTAGCTCAGAAGGCACTGAATCAGTATGACAGTGCCTGTATCTTTCTTCAGTCAATACAGGGAGAGCTGAAATTAATAGTTTCACTAAATAACAGCTGGATTGGTTTTCTCTAATGGCTAAAATGAGGAATATAAATCCCAATGAACTAAAAAGTAAACAATTTCCTAGGAAATATTAATGTTGTTACCTTGTGAAAGTATTTCCCCTTTGTGATTTATTGTAGCAAATTTCTTAAACACCAGCATTTTAGGGGCAGGACAGTCTCTTGAAGGATGACATTTGGTATGCCAGTTGGCTACAAAATGTTATCGTATTTAATACTATCCCAATTCACTCCCAATTATTAGCGAAGTCTGAACTGCAGGCTATTAACAATAATGAAAACAGTGCATTTTAAAAAGTAAAAAAGCAAATGAGAACATGTGAGCATTATGACTTCTTTAAAAAAAATTCTTAAAGAAGTGCAAGAACCTTTATAATTTTTGTTCAAATCAATTTACTCTTGGCAGATAATACCACAAGGAAAATACACCAGTGCCAACACAACTTTTCAGTGTCTAGCTACATCTACTTTAGATGGTACCTTAGGTCATCGACATCAGTGCTGGTCCAAACCTTTGCCAGCTCCAGCAGTCTCACTGACATTTCTACAATTTCCATGCCCAGCTAGCTGAAGAGGAGAACATATATATTCATGTATGTGTAAAAATGTATATATACACACATACTTAGATATATGTTTTTATGTGTATGTTTTAAATGAGTCACTGCTCTGTTCCTACTTTGACAGGCATTAAACACGATATTCAATGATTCAATGAAATCAAAGATGATTTATAAGAGCATATAGCAACAGGAGGAGAGGGAATGGCTGCAAACTGAAAGAGATCAGGTTTAGATTAGATATTAGGAAAAAGTTCTTAAGGGTGAGAGTGGTGAGGCACCGGAACAGATTGCTCAGACGTGTGGATGCCCCATCCCTGAAAGTGTTCAAGGCCAGGTTGAATGGGACTCTGAACCTTATGTAGCAGGTGGAACCTGGGCCCATGGCAGGGGGCTTGGAACTAAATCATCTTTAAGATCCTTTCCAAACCAAACCATTCTCTGATTCTATGATTATTCATGCATGAAGAGAGTATCTTTTCAGAAAAATACTGGATTGTCATTGTTCTGCTTCACTATTTGTCCTGCATAAACACCGGAAAATCATATTCACACCATGGACTTCTTATGTCAATACCTGACACATCTTGCAATCGGTCTGTGTCTGCTGCTGTGTGTGGGTGTAGAAGGCCAGGGGGTGGCAGGGCCTCCTTCTTTCCCCCTCCAGGGGGGAAGGGGAACCCTGCAGCCCCCCAACTCTGCCTAGGCCAGAGTTGGAGGCAGCATCGGAGTAAGTGTGTTTGTTGTGAGGAGAGAGGCTCACAACTGTTGAGGTAAGCGGGAGAGAGAGAGAGAGAGAGAAGGCAGGCCTTGCAGTCAAGCCTTCTTTTCCCCCACCCCCTTTGCAGCCAGACTGTGGAAGGGGGCTGTTTTCCCTCCCACAATCAGAGAGGGGAGGGAAGGCTCAGCATTGAAGCAGAGCCAAGTGGACAGGCTGAGTACAGCTCGGTGCCAGAGAGATAACCCAGGTGAAATTGGAGACGGACCAGAGAAAGGCCCGGAGGATGTCCTTGCCATGATCTAAACGGAGGACAGCCAAAAACTCAGAGGAGGAATGAACATTCCAGGACGCCTGTGTTGATAAGCTGACTGAACTACAGCAGCCTACAGAACCGAGGTATGAGAAAGAGAATGGCACAGCAGAGACTGACACGGAACCAAGGAGAAAGGACTCAAAGCTATCTTCTTGGACTTCATGAGGAAGAAAGGACTTCAGCAAACAGCTGGAGGTTGGTGGGGGGAGTGTTCTGGTTCTCCGAACACTCCCATGAGAGAGAGACTGGTACCTATCAGCCTGAAGAGTTTTTTTCCTGGACTGAATTGAGGGAAAAAGCTTAAAGGGACTGATAGAAGGGTAACATATATATATAGTTGCTTTTAGCTTGTATAGTATTTATTTGTGTAAATAAAATGTAAATACTTCCTCTTTCCCCTATAGAAGCCTCTTGCCTGAAAGTTTTCTCTTTGGTGTTGAGATAAAATTGTGGGAAAGGGTGGGGGAAGCCTGGAAATTGGATTTTGGATTTCTGTGGTAGCTCAAACTACCACACCTACCATCACACTCCAGACCAAGAAACTATGCAGAGGACTGCCAGTATTAGTCAGCACTAGTGATGAGAACAACAACTAGGCAGCTTGTCAGAAGTGCGGTGTGACTCAGACTGACTTCCACAAGTCTTTCCGCACCATTAAATTTCTGAATTGTCCCAGCACATGTAGAGTAACAGATGATTAAACACAACCTTATTTTAGGAATCAAGTTAATGAAGCAAGCACAGTACGACGTGAAGGCTTGTTGCACAAAGGTTTCTAGAGTCATGGTGACATTCTTCCCACTATCCTGAATTAGCAGATGTATTTATTACCTGGCAGCTGTGAGTTGGGAGAAAACCCCCACACTGAAGTCATCTTTAATACAGAGCTAGATTAACATAAAACATGAAAAATAATTATTATAAGCTCAATGCAGGCAACCAGCTGTGAAGTCTGTAGGAACAAATGTAATTTTTATAACTGGTTACTAATTGCCTGTATTACCGTCACACATCCCTTTCCCTATCAATTGTCCAGCAGGCTCTCAGCTAGTCTCACCCTCCAATTAAGGGCTGCACTTTGGAGTACCACATTTTAGGAAGAGAAGAGGTATTCAAATTCATTTTGTATTTCACTAATCAATAGGTATTCCAGCCTGAAATGATGCAAAAGCCCATTCTAAGCTCTGCCTTTCACTCACTGTAACTGAAATTGCAAATCCTACACATTCATAGGACATTCACAGCATCAAGTCTAATTTTTACCTTTTGCAAAGGAAAACTTTTACCTTCTTCATTGTTCAAAAGGAGATTTCCTTTCTCACCCATTTAGATGAAAGGAAATTGAGTTTTGCCTAAGGCTAAAGACTGACATTTGAAAAAAGTGGAACTATGCACAGTGGGATCTCCAACTGCTGCCATCTACTAGAGCTTTTCCATTCATCCAGGTTTTTCTACAGCATTGCACCAGAGACTACATTTATAAGGCGAAAGGAAAAAAACCTCAAACAAAATGCAGGATCACAACCCTGGACCAACACAGCAGAACTTGCCTTGCACAGGAATCTGCTCTGTAGATGCCCATGGGAGACCATGCTATAAAGAAGAGCTAGGAGAGCGGGTGGATGTTCAAGAACCATCTCCTCCAGGTTCAAGAATGGTCTACAAAAACAAACAGAGCTGGCAGGAGGCATGAATGCACAAACAAGAAGATCTTGACTAAACATGAAAAAACAGCATTGAAGAGGTAGAAGCAAGAGCAGGGAACCTAGGGAGATGCACCACCCACACACGCACAGATGGGGTTAGGAAAGCCCCAAAGCGGAATCTGGCAAGGAGGTGAAGGGCAACAAAAAAAGGTTTAGCAGAGACACCATCAGCAACAGGAAGACTAGGGAAAAATAAGGTTCCACAGCTGAGTGGGGCAGAGGACCTGCTGAGAGGAGATATGGAAAAGACCGCCTTTGCTTCTGTTGTTACCAGCAAGAGCAGCCCCCAGGAACCCTGGATCTCAGAGCACAGAAAACTGCCTCAAGTGCCAGGATCAAAGGGCTGTCACCAGTGCATGAAGCCCAGCTGGACACCTGGTCTTACTGGTGAACTCCAGGGGTCAATACCCAGGGCAGGACAATTTAACATCTTCGTTAATGAAGACGAATGATGGGACAGAGCTCACTCTAAGTGTGTTTGACCATGAGGAGAGGCTGATAGCCCAGAGGGATGTGTTGCTGTTCACAGGGACATCAATAGGCAGGAGCCAACACGTGAGCCAACATGTGGATCTCAGGAAGTTTAACAGGGACTGCCAAGTCCTGCTCTTGAGAAAAAAAAAAACCCAGCACACACAGGGGCCAGACAGAAGGAACCCTGGGGGTCTCCATGAACAAGGGGAACATGAGCCAGCCACACCCACCCTTGCAGCAAAGATGGCCAACAGCCTCCAGATCACCATCAGGTCACAAACACAGTGATGACTGCAGCATAAAAAAATCTAGTTAAAAAGACACATTGCAGATAATGGCTGTGTATCAAACCACTGTTATATTACAACCACCAAAACTATCAAGTTGCCCAAGTAGTGCCACATTATTGACAGGATCGTCATCTGCTTCTGGAGATTGACAACTCATCTGCTTGAATTCACCCTTCACCTGTCAGTGTTTCTCAGCCACAGTGTCGTACTGGAGAAGGCTGCATTTGCAGAGCCTACATTCTGTAAAATGGGTATTAAGCATATTTTAAGTAATGCAGTCAACCTTACTGTGACTTCTAGATGTGTGTAATGAAAAGTGTACAAATGCATTGCTATGTAATGTATATTCAATCAAGCCTGTAAGGATGCAAAATTTTCTGCTGTACAAAGTATATACATAAGCACACAGCTTCAAAAAACCCAATTTATTTTACGGCCAAAATTATTAAACACTAAAAAGACAACCTCATATTTTATACATTAGGAATGTAAGTTTTCAGTGTAAGAGAATACTTCACTGCAAAAAAGGTGAAACAGTGTGTTCCTAAAACAAAGAACAGTGTCACATAATGAGCTGAAGAATGAGACAAAGTGTGGCAGTAATTTAAATTCAGGTTCTCACGTGAAGACAGACATCTATAGACTGAGGCAGATATTCCACAGACTTCAGTGAATATTAAGAAATGTACACATCTAGTCTTAGAAGTAGAATTATATAAATACAAAAGGCAATATATTACACACCTATATACAGCACTGTAAGCCACAAACACTAACAAAAGGTATGAGACAATTAAGTTAGAAATTTCTAGAATCCTCATAGGAAACCTCCTTAGAGAGAAATGTGTCTAAAATAGCTATATATTTCGGTACCTTTCAAATTTGTTAGGTAATGAAGGCAATTCAAGACATTTCAATCAATTCAGAAAAATCACTGCAGCTCTACAACAAGTGGTTAGAGGCCATACATTTTGTGCACCAATGTTACAGATTCTCACAACAAAAATAATTCTTCTCAGTTTCAATGGAGTTTTGGAAGTGTTGCTATTCAAAGCCTTGGAAACAGTGCCCTCTGATTTATAACAGTAAGGTCAGTCATGAACGTCAGCATTGAAACAACTTCTCTTATTACCATCTGAGATGATTCACTCCTACATAACATTTTTCCTGCAGGATGTTGCAGCTGTGTATGCTCAGAAGGTATTCATCAGAACTACCCACTCCCAGGCAGACTATAATACAGGTAGTCTTAATAGGCTTTCCTTACACTGTTAGAAGACATCTACTTTTTTAACATACATTTTCCATACAACAGTCTGAAGTGCTCAGATAATGCCCAAACCCCCAGAGTTTGACAATTTTAGAAATATCATGAAAAGAGAGATTTATTTAGAAATATCTGTTTCCTGCCCTACTTTCCCCCATCCCGCTCCCCAGTCCTGTCTTTTTTTATCTTTTCCATTTTTAAGAAAAGAAAGAAGCACAACTGAAAGTTTTGGTACTCATATCAGGAAATAAATTCTTTTGACTCAATCAGTATCAAGGTGTGATGTCAGCTCACAAAAACATGCTCACTGTGTAAACTGCTCTAGAGACCAATACATACATATTTACATGATGCCATGTATGTACAGAAAGAGCAGCCCATAGTACCAAGAACCTTTCCTTTTATCATTTTCTCAAAAAAGTATGAAGCTTTATGTTATTTCAGTTGTACCAATATGAGCCTATATCTTGGGCTCAAGCTAGATCAGCTGGATAAAATAAAAGAGTAAACTACCTTTATTTTAATACCATTTGACTTGTAGCCAACACTATTGTAAACATCATGTTACACACCTACATTGTATGGCATTTTAGATCCTTCAAAATCCTAATTATTTAGAGCTAAAGGGACTAAATCTTCCCAGTATAATAAATATCTTTTATACCAACACCCAGCTGGAAAGATTGTTACCTCCACGGTAGACAATCATGAATTAAATGAAACAAACCAAACCCAGTAAAATTAGTCAAAAATTCAAGTCCCTTGACACTAACTCACAACTAATACCATCACAACAAATATTTGTCTATTGCAATTTTGCGTATCTATTCTAAGTTACGTCTCAATTTAAATTACTGCAAAATTTCCCAAAGTATTCTCAGGTCCTACACTGCAAAAGCAGATCAGGAGGCTGCAAGTTATTTCTTTGTAACATTTATAACAAATTTCAAGGGAAGAAGAGCTCTACATCCAGTGTGTGTAGTACTAGCCAATGCCTACTATCAGCTGCCCAACACCCTTCTGTTGCTCATGGTTATGCCTGCTCCAGCAGCCACATGTATTAGCCAATCTGAAACAAAAATGCTAATGTATATTGCAGAAAAACCTTAAAAAGAGAGGCAAAATTTTCTGCTGTACAAAGTATTTACAAAAATATACGACCTCAAAGAACCAGTTTCTTTCACTGGCTAAAGTACTAAAAAATTAACAGGGCAAATTTATAGTTTATACATTAGGAATTAAGTTTTCATGTACAATTAAGAAAACATTTCACTGTAAAAAGGTGAAATACTATGCTACTAGAATAGAACAGTGTCACACAACGAACTGAAGAATGAAAAAGTGTGGCATATTCCTTTAAGCTCAGGCTCTCAGGTGAAGACAAACACCTACAGATTGATGGAGTTATTCTACATACTTTGGTGAATTTTAAGGAAGGGACACATCTAGTCTGCAGTCTTAGTAGTACAATTATATAACCTGTCTCTATCAACTGTGTCTCATCTCTTTTCACTAATTAACCAGCTAATTAATTGCTATAAACCTGAATAACATTAGCTGCTTAAAGGTTATTTGTGCTTCAGTTTAAGTCATAAAGGAGTATCTAAATTTATTTCTAGGCAAATGGGAAAGTCTACCAGAATTTTAGTGATTGTTTTCTTACAAGGCTCTTGACAATAATAGATTAACAGCTGCAGAAATCTGGACAGTTGGGAGTGACTATGCCTCAGATCTTCATCCTATTTCTCCACTCATAATAATACATTGTCCGTTTATCAGCCAATCATTGCTACTGGAGTGGTTTTGTCAGCTACTGCTTCTTCAAATTTCTGCATAAGAAGTTTTAATGTTCTTTTTTGATTAAAATCCTAACATTATAAAAGTTGGTATCAAACAAACTCATTGAAGGTTAAGGGTTAGGTAACCTTAAATAGGCTGCTGGTTTAGAATTTCAAACTAGAAAAATAATAGATATAAAAGACTAGGAATTACAGTGTTAGTTATATTTACATTATAATTTCCCTTTGTGCTTGCAAGTTACTGAAAGTACACATCCTTTGGTAGTATTCTCTTAGTCTCAAGTACAAAGTTCATGTTAAACACATTCACACTCCTGATTTGCTTGAGTCAGTGGAAAGGGCTCATATTTCCTACGTAACATTGATACACAAGCACATCTCTTCCCCACAAATAATAAAAATACTGATGACAGACTTTTCAATGAGCGGCTTTGCAACTGATATTTAAGAATCCTAAAGAAAGACAGAGTCTGTCACATAATTTTTAAGATTAAAGACTGACTACTATAGCAAGTGATAATAACTCCCACCCAGAAGTACTGCTGCTGTATGACCTTTGGCCCAGTTCTGAAGACATATAGGAAAACCAAAATGCATCCATAAATTGGACTCATACAGGTATAAAGAAGTATGAACATTGCAACATGTACTAACCACCATTACAAAACCAACCACAACATCAAACGCTGTAGTGATGCTTCTAGTTTTAACCTTACATGTAAGCACAGCTTTCTCACGGCTAATGTAAGAGAATGTTTGTTCTTATGATGCTGTTCCAAAACTTCATGACAATACTGCAAGACTCCTCCCAAAAAAAAAGAAGTACTTGCAGTTTTGCCTATGCCAAGGGTAGTGAAAAAGCAGAATCCGGGAGAGAGGCTCTATTTGTTCCCACACCACACATCTGTAAGAAGCCACACACCTTTATCAGTGGCCAAACAACCAATTAATGCTTGTTCAACTGGGGAAGGTGTAAACTTCTCATGAAGCTGTAAAAAGAGTACACTTTCCAAGCTATCAGAAGTTGACTCAAAAATAATTACAATTGTTGTCTATTCACTATTACTGTCAAATGTGAGCCAAATAAGAATTTACAGGCTTGCGGTTTAAGGAAGTAATGTATAGCATATTAAGGAGTTTAATGTACCAATATCAGGACAAATCCTCAATCATTTATTTTTCATAATGCCCAATTTAATATCAATCTGTTGACAAAGTTATGCTAATACTTGGAGGTCGCTGCTGATTAGGTGGTTTGCTTAAAATTGGAAGATCTGTTCTTTCTGTTCCATATATCAGTTTTTCCTCTTGAAGACTGCAAGCTGAAAACCTGTTTGCCTCTGTACCAGAGACACCACCATGATTATTTGGAACTGTGACACCACTGACCTGTTCAAAGGATTTACTAAACACAGTAGTGGTCGTTCTGGCCAGACTATGACTGCCAGGCTTAGGCAGGGACTGGCTAGTTGTCAGTGTCAGTCTCTTCAGAGAGACAAGCTCTAGATTCTCACTCATGGCTCTCTGAGTTTGTTTTCGTGATAAGTGTTCTCTACAGGTTTCTCCTTCTTTTTCTTTTCCTCCAGCTTTGATTCCTCCAGACCTTCGCTGGCTCTTCCCTAGAAGGTTCTTGCTGCTCGTGTTGCTGCTGTTAGATAGGGCAGACTGACTTGCACTAGAAGTAGCCCTAGAGTAAAACCCTTCATCAGTTTCAGATACCTCTATTAGTTCTTCTTGAATTCCTAAATCAGAATTACCTGCATGGTAGAAACAGAAATAAAGAATTAGCAACTGACTTTCTTACATTTATTGATTTTACGTATTGCTCAATTTTGATATTTACAAGCGTGAAGCCATAAAGCAATAGAGCAGAGAACAGAAGACAAAACACTTACCTATTCCATGACATTTTGGAATTAAGGTTCATTAGGATTAGAGTTACAGCAAATAATGCCACAAAAGCATGCCCCCAACCTCGTTTTCTTGTGATTTTAGGAAAAAAAAAAAATGCGGACTTGTTAATTCATGCAGGAAGTTAGAAACTTAGAGATTAGAAGGTACCACACAGAACAAAAAAAAGTGTAAATCTTATTTTCAGCAAGTGATCCACTACATGATTTGGCAAAGCTTGTTAATTACAGAGGTATGTGATCAATGCCCCAGGACACCCATTATGGTACCTGCATATTTAGCAACCCAAGAATGCTTTAGGACTGAAAGGTCACTTTCTGCATCACAGGTCTGGTAGTATGAGTTTGAAACTCAAGCACAACGTGAGATCTCCAGTACACCATGAAAGGTTGAATTTGGGAAGTCTAAGGTACACGGCAAATACTTTTCATATCCATTTCTATGGATTTTTCGTACCATTGATCACTAGATTTTGTAAACTCTGTATATATGTTTAATAAATTCAAGGGTAGGTTGAGTCTCAGTGTATTTTCTCCAGATTAAATAAATCTACTTGTAAGTATATCATCATTGTCTGTGGCACAGACGAAGCTATGTGCAATACATGCAATTGTGTTATTACACATGCAAATACATTAACTGCATACTTTAATTCTTGAAACATGCAGCAGTGACCCTTTCAATCAACAGCGGTACCTTAGAGTGCAGCTACAAGTGCTCTGCTAAAACTGCACTCTGCCAGATGAGTTTATTCCATCCTCCATCATTTTTCTTACAGATTTTTGCCTCCTGATTTCTGGCATGCCTTTGCTGTCAGTTCTAGGATCTGCAGCTGTTTCCTGTACTCCCTGTAAATGCTGAACATCATTCTCTGCTAGTGCTCTGCTCTTTTCCCCATTCCCGGTCCTCTCTCCAGCCACACTTGTGACACTAATCTCAGGTATGATAAAGTTGCCCAATTCAGTAGCATCATTACCATTCTCTGGTTGTTCTAGAATTAAAGATGGATAAGAAAAAAACACAAAAGATGTCTGAAACAAAACATGAAACAAAAGCCGATACAGATGACTTAAGCATTATAAATTAAAGCAGATGTACACATATTAACCTCTTGTTAATTAGCAACATTAGCAAGTATGGAATTTTGCTTTATTTCTAAAATTGCAGTCTTCAATCTTCCAGTTATTAGCCTGCACCACATACTGGAAAGGCCCATGCTTGATCTTGCAAAATTGACATTTTTGAGGGTCATGAGGCAGATTATCAGAAACCAAAGAACAGCCCATAATTCACCTTCATGACTATATTCTCTGTATCACCATGCTAAAGTGAAGCTTATTTTTACAATGAAATGGCACATCAACTTCATGTATTAATATGCAAGACCAGAAATACACATACAATTTCATCATGTTGCACGGTGGTCAGCCTGAAACCTAACAGTGCAAGGACTAAGCCAGCTCAAGCACACTTTGATTTCCATTTTCTTTCTTCATTTGAAAAAATTCTTTTCAATCAGAAAGATATTTCTATATACCACGGAAAAACAAGTAAAGAAGAGTGAGAACTACACTATATGCTATATGATTATATATTCTGTATGTGTTATATGTGTATAATATATGCCAACACTATGGCCACAAACTTGACAAGACTAAAAATGCACTAAAAGCACAGCTCCAAATAAAGCTCAACTGAGTCCCTGTGTTTTATTCATAACACAGCTGTTTCAGACCCAAGGATTAAGTAAGGACTACTCAGAGTATCCCACCAGTTTGCTACTGCGCATGACAGAATCTGGCAGTACAGACATTTAACTGACAGTATGAAGTCCAAAAGCAGAGGAATTTACAATGAGATGATTTTTCACAGCGGCAGCTCTACTTAACTGGAGGGGATCCTCTCTTCCTCCTGTCCCCTCACTGAGGACTCCTGTGCAAGCACATTGTACTTCTAGGTCAGGTGGGCTCCAGCACTGGGCTTTTCGCTGGCAATTGTGCTGTCTGCACTGATCAGAACAGAGCCAGAAGGTTATTCTGGCAGGGATGGACATTAGTGTTCCCTGGTGTAAGAGCTATTCCTGATTTTACCTGAAAAGTCTAAGTATCATGAGTCTTTCTAACTAGTCAATGACTAATGAAAATATCTATTTACAAGTTGCACTATCCAAAGGAAATGGTATTAATAACTGCTGCTATTAGCCACTGAACTCTTGACATTTGGCGGGAAACTCAAGTTAGAACTTTTTATTCCTTCTACCAGCACTTTCTGTAAAAGTCTTCTGTTGTCAATAACGAAGTAACAACTGAGCAACATGAACTGCAATAGTAATAATAATACCACTATCAAATACAGGCTTTTTTCCAAAAACACAGGAGCAGAAAAGTTATTGAAGAGAGAAGATCAATGTTCTCATTGGCCTCATTGCTCTAACTTCGCTAGGGTGAGGAACCTGTGCCTCTCCTATGGCATCTTCAAACTCCTTCCTGCTGTCCCAGAGAGAGGAGAGGAGAGGAGAAGACAGAGCTACACTGTCAGTTCCTTCCCCACCAAGGGCAGAAAAGTACTAACTATCCAATTCCAAAGAGGGATGACTCAGTGCAGACAGCAGAAATCAGAAAAACAGAGGTAGACTTTTTTTGTTAAAGATGCTGTATAAAAGCAATACCCAGTTATTGCTATTTGGTGGTGTGCATTTCTAAATGTAACATCCTGCTGTGATATCAGCACTTTACCCATCACTGCTGCATTCCCACTGCTGTGGGAATAACAAAATAGCCATTACCATAATGAACTGAGGAAAAGAAACCCCAAAATTTAAGAGTTTTACTCATTATAATTATGTCTAATCTTTTAGGCAAGTGCTAGTAACTACTAATGAAAGGAAATACACCTTTCTCTGAGTTTAACTCAACTATAGGAGGAAGCTAATGAAAAAATGGGATACTGGGTATCTCAATTCCCATTAACACTGTCTACCATAGCATCTCGGGGCAGGATAAGGCTACACAACGCATGTCCTTTAGCATACCCTCCTTCTTTTAAAACTTTTAAGAACACCTAAACCACACCTTCAGCTTCATAGTGCTTGGTTTTGAAGATAATACTGCTTCAACTCTGGGCAACTAGCCTTTGAGAGAGAGAGATATTAATACCCAGTGCACAAGGCAACGTAAATAAAGAGAAAACAAAGGACACTGCTAAATACTGTAGAGACAAAACTGAAAAATTATGCCAGTTTGAATATTAATATGAACATGCCCATAGCAGGTGAAGAAAAATGCATTTGGAGTCACATTTCTGAAAGCTTTGAATAGTACGACCAATCTTGATACATGCATTTCTGGATTACTAACTGCTAAGACTTAATTCAAAAGGTATTTCAATCACAGTCTATCTTACTATTACAGTTGCCTAGATCATTTACACATTTACAGATTGCACACGCAAACTGCCCACTTGGATTGCAATTCAATTTTAACCACCTCAAGCTCAAGCTGCACAACAGAGTTAGCATTTTGAATTATTCACAAAAGCATCAAGCTTATATCCCAAAATTAACATTCATTCCAGATTCTTATAAGTTACAACAATTTTGGGAATTAACGCTGTTAAAAAAAAAAGACTAAGAAAATTCTCTCCACAGAGAGATTTCAAAGACTAATGTTTCTAAACATTGTGTACTACACGAAAGCCAATTTCTGCAGGGGAGAAAAAAGTAACTTCTTTGCTAGTTGATGTCTTTGTTCTTGTGTTATGTATCCTACCAACATCTGCTTAGCTCTTCTTAAGTCTGTTAAATCAGAGTATTTCTCTTACACACACTACCTCTACACCAGAGGTTTTTCCCAAGCAACTCCTTAATATGGCAGTTTGGAAGATTTTACTTTAATAAAGAAAGCACTGATAGGGCTTGCTGGTTTTTTTCCCTAGCTTCCATAAATAAACATTCATTTAAGTATTGATGCTCCTTATACACTGTGTGGTTTTTCTGGTTTCCTCTATTTGTGAACAGAAATGGAGATGCCACTTAAGGCTTGAATTTAAACAAACTACAAAGAACTAATGCTAGATCAAAGAGCTAATGTTGCTCTTTTTGAAGTTTTGTAATTTATAGGCAATCCAAACCAATATCAATAAATAATTTGTTGCTAAATGGTGGCTAGTATCAACTCACTCTAAACACTACCCATTTGTGATTAGATTGATGCATTTTGCAAATCACCTTCACCTTTAGTACTTCTAAAGTACCTATCTCAGATGTCTACATTCACAATACTGATTTAATTCTTAAAGTCCTTTTAAGTAACTGCTCTTAACAAACAACTTACAAGGTTAAGTATCACAAGAAGATTCAATGTTAAGTCTACCTTTATTCAAAACTGACATCAATCTAGAGTTCTAGCAAAGGCCAGCAAGATCTCATGTCTGAAAACTTTTGTAAGAAACTGATTTTTTTTTAAAAGACAAGAAAAAAAATAAAGTTCATGCTTCTCAGCTGGAAATGTGATTCACTTTAATTCTTCTATTTTATTTATTTTACACAAATAGCTAGTGATTGAAAATTGCTGCCCTTGCTTGCCCAAGAGATACACTGCTTCATCAGATCTCCTGGTTCACATAATGTAAAAGATCAAAATATGTCTCAGCTGTCTCGTCTGGCTTCCTAATCCATTTATACTCATTTTTATTATACCGAAAATAAAAATAGCCCCCCAACCACATTTTTTCCTTTACACCACGAGAGAGAGGAGGTACAAGGCTTGTCATCTAATCTCTACCAACTCCAATATTTATTTTAATTCAAACAATCATCTGTAAGCACAAGTCTTGTTATTCTTTCTGCATGCTGACCCTGAAGATGTATTTCATATCTTTCTTTCATCGAGAATTGTGGGGCACTGAATTAGGTTATTAGGAATGTTGAAAACAGGAGACCATCCATTCTGACTTAAAAAAGACTCTTCAAGTCACAAACACAGCATTCCACCCCACAGCATTCCTACTATTATTCTCATTTCCCTTTCACCTTACTGTTATCTGCTGCAGGGCACACTTGTCCCCCACATTTTTTCTTGAACTTCACCAAGCATGACTCCCTGCCAGGAGGCAATAACTGTAAAAACTTCTAGATTCTGTATTTCCTGAAAACTTTGCATTCTTATAAGGATGGCTGCAATACTGATTCCGTAACATTTTCATCTCCTGTTTTTTCTCCTGTAAACACAAATACAAAGGAAATGTTCATTTTAATAGACTTTGAATTTCTCTGGATGAACTAGCACTCAGTATCTCTGAGCTGCCTTACGCTCCACCACCTCATTTGGACAAGCATAGAACTACTCAAAAATAATTGCTAACAAAATTGCCAAGCTTCAGAGGGCATTTATCTATTTAAAAGCTGAGCCATCATATAGTTTTCTTGCATCTGGTCCATAATCCATGCTTAATAACTGTAAGGCTGAAGAAAGAAAAATAAAATGGTCCTTAGCAGCCGTGAGATTTCAATAATGACTTGCTCCTGGATCTCACTAGAGTTAAAAGACAGAAATGTTTTGCTCCTCAGCTTTGCCTGACAGTTTTAAGGAGTTTTTAAGCAATCGAAAAGAAATTTGTTTATTTTACTTTTCTCTGCTTTTCACTCCCTCTGGCAGCTTACTGTTGGCACTATTACCGCCAAAGCGTGCCATTACTGCTCAGGAAGTTCTATCATTATTTTAAAGTCATCTTCTCCCAGCATACTCATAAATAATTTTCTCAACACTTACCTGAACTTCTTGGCCATTAAAGACAAATAGCTTGGCAAAATTTTTCTAACTGAACTGTCTATATACTACAAAAGCTGATGTAGTGCATACTGTACAGAAATTTTATTGGTACTGCAAAATCTTCATTGAACCTATTAGGAAAGCACGCTTATGTACACTCACACACTCAACCTATCACCAGAAATACAACACCAACAGAACAAGCCATTGCCAATTCTCATCGCTGGTCCAGCAGCTCTTCCCTCATCTGAAGATGAGGCAAAAGTGGTGAAATACAACATTTAGACTCATGGAATCCCTTTTTGATATTTCTGCTTTTGCAGTACATTCAGCACCATTTTTTGTACTTCTCAGCCCAGACCTATGTTCTGCTTAGTGGAATCCCTCATATTAGTTTGCCTGAATGTGCGGGTTTTGGCTGGGACAGAGTTAATTTTCTTCACAGTAGCTGCTGTGGGGCTGCCTTTTGGATTTTTGCTGGAAACAGTGTTGGTCAATCGGGAATGTTTCCATTATTGCTGAGCAGTGCTTGCACAGAGCCAAGGCCTTTTCTGCTTCTCACACCATCCCACCAGTGAGCAGGCTGGGGATGCACAAAAAAATGCTGGTCCCAACAGGCCCAAGGGATATTCCATACCATATGGCATCATGCTCTCTATATAAAGCTGGGGGAAGAAGGAGGAAGAGGAGGGATAATCGATGTGATGGCATTTGTCTTCCCAAGTAATGGCTATGCGTGATGGAACTGTGCTTTCCTGGGGATGGCTGAACACCTGCCTGCCCAGGGGAAGTGGTGAATGAATTCCCTGTTTTGCTTTGCTTGCATGCATGCCTTTTGCTTTACCTAATTAACTGTCTTTATCTCAGCAAGTTTTCTCATTTTTACTCTTCCAATTTTCTCCCCCATTCCACTGCAGGGAGTAAGTAAGTAGCTATGTGGGGCTTAGTTGTTGGCCGGGGATAAACCCCAACATCAAAACATAATGTTTTATCTCTCTAACATTAAATCCAATTTTTATTCAAGTAATTTAAGACATGTGAGGTTCTGTGGTAAAGTTGTTAAATATTTACTTTGCTCCAGGTTCTAGAAACTACTTTTCAGAAGAAAACAAGAACATCAGTCTCTTAAAAGAAGCAATAATTGTTTACACTTCCCTTTAACAAAAAGGTTTTGTGTGTGTTGTGCTTTTTTTTAAAACATGGTTAAGGAAATGAAGAATATACTTCAACTGAACTTCGTTGAGATTCCCATTCACCAGTCAAGAAAATAAAACCCTCCCAAATGCTGCCTGCCTACAAGTAATGAAGATGTGAAATAAAAAAATTCTCATTATTATTTCAAAAACGTGTACAAAGTTGAGATTTCACTGCAAAGTGTGTTTCTTACCATGCCTTTTCCATCTATGCCCTCGGATAGACATGCTAGTTACAGCATTTCTTGATATTCTGGATGAAGTAGGTGTAATTTCAACCTGAATGCATCTTGTACCTTCTTTATTTGATTTCATGGCACCCTGAGGCAGTGAAGCTTTTATTGCATTAGCAACCTAGAACAGAAGAGATGCAGTTAAGTTTTGAACACAAAGATCCAAATTTTAGAAGAATTCTGTCAGGGATTCTTACTACTTCAAGAAGAATACTGTGTGCAATTCCAATTTAAGGTCAAAATGCACGCTAGCTTTCTTGCGCAGGTTATAAAGAATGCTGGTTGCAATTAGCTCTCAGAACTAATACTTGCCACTTTTAAAAAAAAGTTGCCAATTTAAAAGATGTGGCTATTGCTTCAGAGTTCTTCTGTGCTGTTATCTAAGTTCTGAGGACTTAGAAGTGTTCTACTGAAAATAGTTTGTTCATTAGGAAACACAACATAATAACATTGAAAATACCTGTGCGTGTGTGCACACTTACAGGCGGAGCTGCTCGCACAAGCACAGACACACAGATTTATCAGTTCCTGGTATGATGTTGCATCATGCATGTTCACAGGAAGAATTTCCTAGACTAAAAATTCTACTCAACAAAATGTTGAAATACAATACCTACCAGCAGAGGTTCTGGATACAGTTCAAGCTGTGCTCTATACAAAACGTCATCCATAGCTTTACGAGCCAGATCCCATTCTCCATTATAACTGCAAAGGTAAATATATATGTAATAAGATGAACCTTCTTGGTCACATAACTTTCAGAGATGTAGTGTTCCTTGAGAGCTCAATTTAAAGGATTTGAACTCCTTGGGTTCTTTAGCATGAACTATTTATAGAACTCTGAAGTAGCATCTATGGAGACAAAGCTTTATTTTCATTGGCCATGCTAAGCAGTTTAAAAATTTTATTATTAGCTATTGATCAGCTAGTCATAAAATATTCTGAAACTTAAACAGGATTTTCTAATATTCCTGCACCTTTTGAGTGTCCCTATATTACTAGTCTCTAATTATTTCAGTTAGTAAGAAAGCTTCACACGTTGACATGACTATCAAAGGGTAGATGACATCAGCATTTCAGAGAAAAAAAAACTTTTTTCCTCAACTCGACTGATGTCAGATCTAAACATGCAAAACTGTGGACAGTCGACAACGGTTGGAAAAGGTTTTTTAAAGTATTCTATTCACACCAGCAGTTACACCTATCAAGTGCGGTTCTAGCCATCCTTCCCCAGTATGACACAGGTAACTTCCACCAGCTAGCTGGAGAACTGACTCTTCCCAAGGACCTTACTGCTAGACACAGCATCTGTCCACTAGAAAATGAAACATCTCCAACGTAACATGCCTAAACAAGTACAGAAAGTAGGCTGACATTTCTCTACTCTGTATGCATATTAAAAAAAACCCAAAACTTACAAGGCATAATAGATCCCTGTTAGCATTTGCACCATGAATTCAGATGAAACTGGAATCCTGCTGTTGACTCCCTTGTACTTTCTCACTTGTTGGCGAGGATATCCACAGACACAAATTCTAAAAAAATCATGCATTTGTCATTAGCAAATAATGCAGAAACATCTTTGTAGTTTATATAGTTTCAATACTTCTCCAGTATTGATTAGTTTTTAAAAGCCCTGAGTTACTTTCTCTGAAAAGGCTAGAATGACATCAGCTTCACAGTAAGGTAGGTTCTTATGAAAAGAAACTTAGTAACTGCCCAGATGCAAAATCTGGATTTACAATTAGAGATCAGCACAAAATATTTTGTGCTGTAATTTTCACATTTACAGCTCATGTTTGTAAATAAGAAGAAATAGATAATTTTGATTCTTTAGAAAAGTCATAAAAATTCAATTAGACATACTAGAAGAAAGCACATTCACTGCAGATCTTCAAAAAAAGCCCCTAAATTCAACATCACTCAAACCAATTAAAGGAGTTATTTTATATAGCCAAATAGCAGAATATTGATTCTACCACATCCAAACAGAACACTGAAAGATATTCTGAGCTTCTGAAACATATTCCCTTGAATCTCTAAAATGCTGTCAAGGTGAGATTTTCAGTAAGCAGAGAAACATGGATGACAAAACCAGTCAGGAATGAAGAACTACAAAAGAAGTCAAATTGTATAGTATTAAATAATTCAGTATCCAAATATTCGACATTTTGAAGTAGGAAGACTTGCTTGCATTTACTGGTAGGTTGCTTTTGGAGGCTTTAAAAAAATTATTTATTCCAAATGCAATCAAAACCTAATCAAGCAGAACAAGCAAGTTTCCTCTGCACAGTCCTTAGCTTCTAAATATTTTCTACCTTACATTTTAGAGCAGTTTATCTAACAAAGATCCTGTAAAAACTCTTGTAAATATTGCCAAGTGCTCCAAAGTCTCTGGCCTCCTCTGAAGAGAAGAAAATCTTACAGGAATCCATTGTCATGTTTTGGTTGTGTGAGGAACCAAGGAACTACAACTAGAAAAAAGGTGCTGTAGTTGACTTCTAGGTCTCTTTGATTTCCCAGAGAAAGAGACCATTCTAATTTTTCCCTTAACCTTAAGCCCTTTCAAAATTCCAGACACAGACATGTTTACTATCAGTTCTTTCCCTCTGAAAAGATAAATTGATCAGAAAAGAGACACTGTAATTAAAGTTGAGGTGGGCTTTTTTTTTTTCATTTTGTTTCAGGGTTTGGGGTTTTTTTTTGGCTGTTATTTTGTTTTTTATAAACCAACAGCTGATTTTGGAAATACACAATTTATCAGTAAAAATGGATTTATTTCTACTTTCAATATTCACTATAATTCCAAGAAAGTTTCAACTTGAAGAGCATTCAAATATATTTAGTAAACTTGCAATGCAAAATTTACCACACTTTTAAAAGACGTTTCTGGTTTTCTTTAGCTAACACAACTACAACTAGTGTTATTAAGAACAAATAGTTCATTTTATTTGAACTCTCCACTAAGGGGAGAAGTTTAATCTGCCAGGTTATTGTTTCCCCACTTTGAGATCCCAAAACAAAGTTATATAGGAGATACTTTGAAAGCAAATAATGCATCTGTAAATACTTATGAAAAGAAGTCAAGTTTAAAAGCAGCCCTTGGGAACACAAAGCTTGTTTTTATAAAAAAAGAAAGCCAAACTGACTGCATTTCAAGTTGAAAATGCCATTTTAAGTGTAAACAGCCTACAGAAATTACCTTGAACAAATTTGACACAATGACTGAAGAGACACTGCAGGCATGTAGCTTAAGGCAGCATTGTAACAGAGCAGAAGGAAAGTCAGCACTTCGAACCTGGGATTTATAAGAAACATCAGTATTACATTACCGATTTTATTTTTTAAGAGGAAACAAGTTTACATGAAAATTTCCAAGACTTAGTTAAACATATTTGGTATTTTGTTTCAATAAAATTGACAACTGAGTAAGCTTTTCCTCTTCATGTAGTAATATGCCCTGCTAGTCTTTCTGCATCTACATTTACATGTGTTTAAAAACAACAAAACAAACCACACCACAAAACACAGCTTAACACCTATCCACCTTCAGTCTACAATTACACTAAAAATTAGAAGAAGTTAAGATCCATTATTGATTCTCAAGCAAAATCCAATTATATGATTTCACCTGTTCTGCGCTGTTAGCATCTCCCTTTGAGGATGAGGTCCACTGTACACAACCCTGGACAAACCATGCTGAGACAAAGCTCCTTCAGTGAGAGCTATGGAGCCAATGCTGGAAGGCTAAAGGAAAAAGGGTCACTCAAAACATGTCCACCCCAAATCTTGTTATAATGCAAGTAAAAATAGACAACGATCAGCATAGCCATATTTGTATATAAATTTTCAACAGGCTTAAGGTTATTTGACTGCTTAACTGTCTTAGATTTGAGAAGTCATTTTACACCAGATAAGGCATATGGTTTCAGAGAAAAGATACAGTTGGTGCACGGATACTATGCGGTTATGACTATTCAGCCCTGAAGAAGCCTCAGAGACAGTTAGCAGCACTCGGAAGTCTGAGAAACATGTCACCATGCAACATGCTAAAACTAATTTTCACTTTTATTCTTAGCAAAGGGCCTCGAAGCATTCTACCTTCCAATCAATAACAACTTCACTTTGTGTATGTTACTTACTTCATGATAGACTGAAGGTTTGGACAAAGACGGAATTGTGAAACTCAGCACTTTGCTATGTCCCTCTTTGTCAACTATCTCCTGAAAAAGACAGAAGATACCAATGGTTACACTGTACTGCAGAAACCAGACACCCAAAAATGTTAAATATTATTATAGGGAAAGATAGGGATACTATAAAAATTTGAACTACAAGCTAGAAATTATCTATTTGCTTTCTATCACAGTGCATTTGATTTGTTTCTGAAAACTATTCAAATCACTTAGCAAAGAGCCCATGCATTTTGCATACATAATCCACCTTAAAAACAGTAACAGGAAATCTCAGTATGTTTAAACAGCATTATCTTTTTTTTAATTATACACTATTTGCTAATTGTAAAGGTTAATGCTCAGTAATTATGTTCTGAAAACTATTTAACCATCAAGTAATGACTCTACGAGTAATTTGTTTTTGGAAATATTACAGCTCTGGAATGATTGCAGCCTCATATGGTTTGACAGCAGCAGACAGCATAGCATTTGCAAAAGCCAAGTCTGCTAACTAAGTACGGAATTAAAAGAAGCATGGATGTGAAGCCTTGGAGAAGCTACTTTCTTGAAAGATGCCACCATAGCATTATGTTGGCAGACTTATCACTCCTATAAGTTAACAGAAAGCAATGGATAAGACAAAACAAGATGCGGTTATGTACCACAGAAGAGCACTGAAGTATTTCAAATAAAAAACTTTGGAAGATCCAAAGCAGGCTTGATCAATAACCAACACCACAGACCAGATTTTATTTCTTCTTCTCTAAATTTCAGCAGTAGATTCCACATATCCAGAAGTATTGATTAGAGAGAAGCTTCAGTGTCTCCTATCACCCATATGCCTTGGAAGGCTGAAGGACTGACTTCACATAGTAATAATTAAAACTCATGTCTTAAAAGTAGAATATGAAGCAGTAAATGAAGAATGAAAAGTATCAAAAAGGCATACAGAGCTGTTCCTTCTGAAAAGTTACACAGCTCCTCCACTCTCCACTTATACTTTAGTTTTCAATATTGCTTCTGCATCAATGTGGAAAACATTTTCCTCAATATACAGGAGAAGGGTAAAGAAGCTGGCTACATCCGAACTTTTAAAATCCAAAAATAACAATATTTGTATTCTTCATTCTAATCAGATTTGTAATTAAGTTTTAGGAGTGCATTTCAAGATCTGAAGCATATTAAAAAAATCCTGATACCTACGGCCAGGAAAGTAAAAAATTTCAACTGTGTGCACTACTATTGTTATGTGTCTAAGCTAAAGGTAGAAAAAAAACAGTTCATGATCTCAAGGTTCAGTCAAAGTAATTCCGTACCCCTCACAACATAATGAATTTAAAATTATTCTGAGCAATATTAAATTTTTCATTTTCCTTCAGTAAGAAACTGCAGGACTCCTACTGAACATGTTAATTCCCTCAAGTTTCCAAAAGCCACTATATATATAATTTACATAAGAATTATTATTTGTATTAGGCTACATATTTCCTCTTGTTTTTGAAAACAAGGTAGCCGGTTAAAGAGAAAAAAAAAGTATCTAAGCAGGTCACCTTTTCAATCTTGTATACTGAAGAACAACACCATCTTGATTGTTTAAATTACAAATTTTATATGAGTAACGTGGCATTATTTTGGCATAAGCATTCATTCTGTCTTAAAGCAGAAGGAGAGGAAAAAAGTTTCCCAAAGCCACCTTGATCTACAGCTTCCTACAGAAGCTTGTGGTAAAATTCTTACAACTTCAAGCAGCTGGAGATGGAGAGCTAAGTTACTAATTGAGAAAGAAACTGTTCATAGCTAAGAGATGATGTTACTGGACTAACTGGTTTTAAGATTAACTGTAAATGTAATCTCTTCTAGGAGAAAAACAAGTGATTATAGCCATATCCGTCAACTATTTTAGATGACTTCATAATGGAAATATAGGAGTGAATTGACTTAAGGCATAAGACACATCAAATGCTTTCCAGGAGTGTTCTTGTCAGATACAACTAAGCACGCAGAAAGCACACAAAGTCTGTACTGGGCACCTAAAGAGGAGTAGAATATAAGGGCTCAGGTCTTTTTAATTGGATTCCTGGGTGAAAAAAAGGTTTTCACTTGCTTGGTAAAGACACTTGTGATTATTTTTAGAAGGAGGATAGCAGCCACCTTCTCCAGATTTTCAGAATGTGAAGAGGTAACCAAGTTCATCACTCTTTTCACTTCCCAAAAAGCCTTCCTAGAACATCCAGAACATACAAACTACACTGACAAGAATGCCAACGGACATAATTACACTGAGGTTTTTATAATAATCATAAAAATACTAAAATGTGGGGCTTTTATAGGTTCCTTATTAATTCTGTTCTTCAAAGCATTAATTTAGCAACAAACAGGATATTTTCATATAAAATATTTTCAAAATGTCAAAGTTATTTCAAAATGGAGACCTTTAATTCCTCAAAGCTAGATAATCTGTTCAGCAGTCAAGTACTAAGAATTTGTTGAAAGTTAGGTTTTTTGTGGTTTTAGTCAAGATAGTCAAAATACTGCAGAAAATATGGGCAACCACTTCAAAAGTAGTGCCTCAAAAAGCTCTCAAGCAGAATGTTTAATAACCACACAAAGAAATTAGTAACAAAAAAATTAGGAACCACAGAAAGAACAGAAAAAACACTGACCAAAGAATAAAAGCTCATGTTGCAGATTTCTGACACGGACACCCATTTGAAGTGTCAAAACGCAATACTCAGTCACTTCATTTCAATTCTGAAACAAAACTGTTAATTATTCCCCAGTAAAACATTCCACAGTATGCCCAGAAGCACGCTAATATTTTAGGCCTGAATTACATACAAATACTAACCAAGTTATAAACTCCCAGGAGAAGAGCCTCTATGCACCCACTGCTCTGCAAATCTCTGCTGGCTGAGACAGCAAGATAGCACCACATCAATTCTGGCAGAAACTGCAGCGTAAACCGTAGCAATTGTTCCTCACCACTGCGATAGAACTCAAACAGCTGATGGCAAACCGGCTCCAAAAGCTGAAACAGAAGTTCCAATTGTGAATGAATAAAACATTACAAGAATCGGCGATTTTGTCTGGATTAATCCTTTAGATAAAACTCTAAACTGATAAAAATTCCATTATACTTATTAGGGAGTGACTGATACAATAACTGTCCAACTCACATTACACAATTTCCATCCTTATAGCATACTTTTGGATGATAAAAGTAGAGCCACCCATCCCACATGAAGAAAGAATTCCAATGGCCGCTTTCGTTCATTTTTTGCTCACTTCCTCTGGCCTCAAAGGCATAAATAGAGGATACTTGTTATCACGTACCTCATACCATGCTCTCAATATCTTTAATATACAAGAGAAGTACCTGAACTAAAGGTTTTGCTATTCCAGAACTCCAAGAGCATACACACAACTTGCTGGAAGCTTTTTCCCACCTAGTGAGAAAAGCTGCGTAACACTTAAATTCCAAATATTACAATAACTAAGTAATTTTCCCACTCTCATTAAAATCTTCTAGAAACTTCCATGTATTTATACATTTGAGACAGAAGTGGGAAGCCTCAAGAGTAATTTTAGAATCAAATTTGCTAAGCTGGATGTAATACACTGAACTGGAAGTAATACATTAAGCTAGATCAAGTTAAAAAAAGACTTAACAACAATTAAGTAATCAGCTTGCATTGTATGTCTTGATTTAATATGCATTCTTGTGCTACCACCTACCTCTGCTATAGGATGAAGCATCGTGTTAACCATCATGCGTCAAGGTATGGAAATTAAGAAATTTCCTAATCCAAGCAGAAAATACTGCTGAAAACAGTAAGCACTTTCAAAGCAAGATGAACTACTAAATTCAGTTCTTCTGCTGTTTGTCTAGGTCACACCTTCAGTTTTATTGGAACAAGTTTTCAGAAAAGTGAGAAACCCAATTCTATATTCTGCCCTTTATTGCAGCAAAGGAGGCAAAACCACCAGATCATGCTAGAAAAAAATGTGCTTGCTTTCCTAAGCTTTTTCTCCTGAACAAAAGTTGAGTCAACATTTCTTACCTCACAAAGTTACTTCTGAAACTGAAAGATCTTAGCAGGTTTTGGTTCTTTTTTAAGAAGTAATTTGGGACAATCTCATCCATTCAAAAAGAGGAACTTTTAGCTTCTGACAGATATAGCTTCACTTTGGAAAAATCATATGTGAAAAATCTGTAAGTAATCTAAATCTACAGGCAAAAAAGCCACGCCAAGCTGAACTAGTCATCAGTTTTAAGAGTATAGCAAAGATCTTTCTAGAAAACTTTACCAGTAGAACTACTTTCCATCTTCAGCTTACATATTTCCCATAATTTGGTTACATATTTCCCATAATTTGCATGCTTCCCATAATGAAGTATCAGTTCTGAATGATGTGCTTGAAATTTAAAAGGCACATAAATAGCTATGACAGGTATCCATGTTTACATCGTTATCTCTGTTGAGACAGCTTTGTATCAGCACATTTAAATGCCTAATCAGTACAAAACCAGATTTTCTTCCTCAAAATGCCACCACATGCTACAAAATAATATCAAAATGCACTAATGATTGTTGCCATTTCAAGATATCATTTTACACCAAGCAATTCTAAAAAGTATCTAGACTGAAAAATATTTTAGTGTTGGAACAAAATGTCCAAGCAATTTCATCCCTCTTCCTTTTAAGCTGCATCCAAATGTGTCACACATTCCAAAAACTATTTCCCAATGCAAATGCCTGCATGGATCCTATCTAAAAGGACAGCAACAGTGAAAAAACAAACCTTACATATTTATTTATTATTGTTGGAGTCTTGAGTCAATTAGAAGTCCTTTAAATCTTCACATCTACTGAAGACTCTCCTTTTATTGAATTATATTTTTCACCTAGCAGTGGCCCAGGAGCCTCAAAAGTAAATAACAAAGTCTTTACTAACAAAGCTACTATGAAGTGGATATTGAACAAGCAGTTAATTTATCTCAAAAATGGATTACTAATTTTTGGAAAAGCAAACCAAAATAACCCATATGAAAAGCAAACATGAACCAACAGGAAAATGCAGTTACAGATGTAAACACATGTGATTACTTTTCAAATGCTTAAAAAAAATACATCCATTCCCCAAAACAAGATAATTCACAATTTTACAGTACTGACAATTATATTAGAAGTACATATATTCAAAGGTGTACAGATGGGGTTGTTTGTCCATTTTTAATCTCAGCAGTATCTGTAGTGTTCATGCATTAATCCTCCCCCCTTGCATTACATCCATGAGGTAAGAAAGGACAGCACATACCCCACACTGTATAGCAAGATGCCATTACACAATGCAGCTAACAGATCTCAAATAACAGTTGAAAAATATTACTTGTCTTTTTAACTGCTAGTTTGTAATTATTTCCACAATGTGGAAAGCTCCAAGTAGCCCTTTCCACAAAGGGACAGCTACTTGGAGAACAGTCCAAATGAAGACTTTAGAACTTTTTCCCAAGGCGGCACAACACAGTGTCAGCACTGGTTTTTCATTTCAATTCAAAGTCTCACTAACAAGGAAATCTTCAATACCTTGCCCCTGGAATTATCCCAACAACCTTTTCAAGCAGAATTTGCAGTAGTGTGTTATTAAAGTCCCTGAGAAACCTAGTGATAGCCAGAAGTAGTAAAAAATCAAAGAACATATGAAAATATTAATTTGGCTATCAACAGGGAGACTCAACAGATTAATTTACATGTTGATATGCATTCTGAAGACCAGACAGGCTTGACTGAGTAGTTGGAATAACTCAGAATGCCTTTCTGAGCAGCAAAGAAAAATTACATTTCTTCTTTGCTGGACAACTTGACAGTTTCACTATGAGCATTCTCTCTAAAAACGTATATACTGAAAGTGTATATCCTCTCACCTTTATTGCTGGCATAATATCAAACTTTGAAAAGGTGCCTTATCACTAGGCTTTTTCAGAAGAGGAAATAAGGACTTGTTGCAATCTTAGAATAATACACACAAGGTTTGCTGGATCATAGAAAGTGAGTCAATACAGTTAACAACACACAGCTAATCCCAGCTCAGTATGTTCTGAATTCACCTGGACACTTTAAAACAAGGGCAGTCATGGGATATGGAACCTATCCTGGTACAAGTACTGGGCAAATCTGCCCCCTTCTCCCCAGTTTTTTTCATATTTTCCATTATTTCAGCAAGGGTACATCCAATTTATAAATCCATGTATTTATATTGTATGTATTTCAAACAACAACAAAAGGATCACAAACCTATCTTTGTTTTCTTGGGCTGTAATAGACAAGCTTCTGACATCTATAGATTCACATTCAATTACAGAAAGAATTCTGTCACACTCAAACATCTCTTCAATTCCTTAAAATATTTCTCAATTCTCTATCCAAGTCCTGAAGCCCATGAGTGGGATCTACAAATTCAGCTATGATCAGGAGGTTACAAAACTTATGATTCTCTTTTTCCATGATAGTATGTCATTGCTAAGAACAAACATTTTGAAGGAAACTCTTCATGTAGTTCTGTAGTTCATGTAGTTAGAACACTATTAAGTAGCATGCAAGGTCTTATTTTTATTCTGCTAGTGTTGTGCCAGACATTTTGGGTGAGAAATCCAATATACTTACTTCACTTTGTGGATCCTGAATCACTTTATAAAGAGATGAAATCAAAGCAGTCTTGTCTTTCAAACTGGTAGCATAGCTGGATATGGATGCTTCTGGCAGTGTCTGAAATAAAAATATTATAAGCAATTTTTATCACTAAAATATAATAGCTATTTCCACAACAATTTTTCATTACAAGTTACTATTTATCAGAGTTTAACTATAAACTAAAACTTGTTTTGTAAAGAAATCCTTACTATGGAAATCATTGCCAGAAGACATACTGCATTCTCTCATTTTGCAGTTTTATACAGAATGTAATGACAGCAGATAGCAAAATAGATAAACAAGAGTTTCAGAAGTGTAACCTTCACTGAAATTTCACTTGAAATGTCAGTACCATGAAACTTAACAGTTTTCAGATCCATACTTCAAGGAGTTCTCAAGAACGACTGTACAAAGGCAGTGAACATTATTACCAGATACAGTTCACTCTGCAAGAACACAAATTCCAGTTAATGCAAACAGCTCTTCTCTAACACTAAACATATTTTCTGCCAGTACTTAAGAAGGTAAAAATTTAATATTTTTAACAGCCCTTTGGAAGCTTAACATAGCTCTTACAGTACTTACCTGCAGTTCTTCAAAGGAGATTATACTCCACTATACAGATAGGAAATCACATTCCCAGTGTACTAAGCAGACCAGCAGCAAAACCTATAGTCAAGTCTAGTACTCAAACCAACAAAACCATTCACCTATGATACACATTTTCACTGCTCAGTATCAGGAAGTATGTCATCCTCCAGGAGGCAAGGAAAAAAAAAAATCTTTTCAAGCAGACATTTGTATTTATCACACGATCTCAACAAAACCCAAGGTTACTACTTTTTGTTTTCTACAGGAATCAAGCAGTCCTGCATACTGCTCCAGCAGCAATTCAAACACTACTCACAAAATATATGAGAATGTATTACCTTAAACTCTGATAACCACTCCTCCACAACCCCAGTATCCACAGCTAACATCTTCCAACATCCGTTTCCAAACCTTCAGCCTGAAAGAACAAGCAAACAGAGTTTGTGAAAACTACAGTCACTGCATTAAGCAGATGATGAAAATTAAGTCCCTGTGAATGTTTAAAGAATCTTTTCATGCTTTTACTTGTTAACATTTCACATGCTGACATTACTTTGAACTTTTATTCTACCTCACTTATGCAAGCTGCTGGAAGCATTAAACACAGGAGTCTTCACATAGAGTAGTTTAATCAATTCCAAGTATGAATTGCGTGGGAAGCTCAATAAGTCAAAGATTTGCAGAAATGGCATTTTGAAAACAGGAAATATTATCCTCTCAATTTCAATTTATTTTTCAGCTTACAAAACTCAAGAGAAAACTGTATGGACTCACTGAAGAGAAATGACTGTTTAGGTTTTTCCTAGTCAACTCCTACTCCCAACTTGGAAAAGGTCACTGAAATAAAGGCGGATGGAAAACCTTTCAATCCTCCCCCACCGTGGCAACTGCAAGACAATGAGCCTAAGACAGACTTCTCTGCCCAGCATTCTGTCCAATCTCAGACAGAGCAAAATTATCAGTACTAGGACTTGAAGACAAGAGATGCAGAGTGGCTTCTGAAATGAATTTCTGATTTCTCTTCGATTTTGAGAAGCCACTTAAAAACAACTGTCCCTTGAAGCAGCTTATTCTTAAACAAAAGAGCAACATATCATTAAGATACAAAACTACTACAAATTTAAAAAAATGTGCTGCTAGTTTACCCAAATTGTGACCATGGATTTCAAACAGTGACAAAGTTAAATACTCATCTAAGGAAAAAAGTAGCACTGTCTTGGTGAAACGTTCAGTCATGGAAGATCCTCTCAAGTTTTGTTTCAGCAATTTAAAATTAGTTTTGAAGTACTGATATCAAAAGTATGGGCTGTCAATAAATGATAAACAAGGAAAAGATGGGAGGGAATAACTGTCTTGTATAACAAAAATACAAATATTTTGTTCTGAGATCCAGACTGTAGTGGAATATATAGAGAAAATTTTAAGAAGCCTGAAGGGAAAAGAACTAAATATGATAATAGTGAGAGCTTTCTATAACCCTTCAAAGCAAGGTGGAGGGGGAGAGGGGGAAACAAACTTAAATAAGGCTTTACTTAAAGAGAAAGTGACCAAAAGCAGGGTTGTGAGGAAATGATTGTTGAGATATGCATGTCAAAAGGAATAAAATTAAACAGGTTGTCCACCAACTTCTCAAATCATTTTAATACACAATAATAGTGTACACAAGCAGAGACTTCTGTGCCTCCCTTTCCTCACTTGCACTAAATATCATAATTACAAACATGGAAAAACTGGTCAGTGACGTCAAGGTCAGGGAAGACATGGCTGCAATGACAATGACATAGTAGAACATAGGAACCCAAGAAGGATCAAAGCAAGGAGGAGGACCAAGAATGTTCTAGAATGGTTCATGGGGTTTTGCAAAAATATCATCAGCAACTAGGAAGACTAGGGCACCATGACTAAACCAGGCAGAGGACCTGTTGACAGGACATACAGAAAAGGCCAAAGTACTCACTACCACCTTTGCTTCTGTTGTTACCAGTAAGAGCAGCCCCCAGGAACCCTGGATCTCAGAGCACAGAAAACTGCCTCAAGTGCCAGGATCAAAGGGCTGTCACCAGTGCATGAAGCCCAGCTGGACACCTGGCCTTACTGGTGAACTCCAGGGGTCAATACCCAGGGCAGGACAACTTAACATCTTTGTTAATGAAAATGAATCATGGGACAGAGCTCACCCTCAGCACGTTCAACCAGGTGGAGAGGCTGATAGCCCAGCAGGATGTGCTGCTGTTCACAGGGACACCAATGGACAGGAGGTGTGAGCCAACACATGTATCTCAGGAAGTTTAAAGGCAGTACCAAGTCCTACTCCTGGGAAAAAAACCCAAGCACCAGCACACACAGGGCCCATGAACAAGGGGAATATGAGCCAGCCACACTCACTCTTGCAGCACAGACGGACAACAGCCTCCAGATCACCATCATGTCAAGGGAAGCAATCCTTCCCTGTGATTGGCCCTGGTAAGACACATTTGGAGTCCTGGACTCCCCAGCGCAACAGACAAATGCCCATACTGGAAATAGTTTGGGAGAAGGCCATAAAGCTGTTGGACAAACTGGAGCATTTCTCACATGAGGAGAGGCCAAGAAAGCTGGGACTGTTAAGCCTGGAAAAGAGAAGGCTCATGGGGATTTTATGAAATGTAGATAATTACCTGAGGGAAAGGAGTAAAGAAGACAGAGCCAAGCTCTTCTCACTGCTGTCCTGTGACAGGACAAGAGGCAATGGGCACAAAATGACATACACTGAAAAAGGGTTTAAATGTAATTTCATGCAAGGGTTATTGAACAATGTAACAGGTCACTCAAAGTGACTGAAGAGTCTCCATCCTTGGAGATATTGAAAACCCAGTTGGATAAAATCCTGAGAAACCACCTGTTTCAATTTTCACTACTTTGAGCCAAGGAGGTTGAACTACATGATTATCTCCAAAGATCCATTCAAACCTCATCCATTCTGTCATCCTGCATCAACAAAGGACTGTCATGAAGAATATTCATCTAGCTAAATTCCAAGGCTTTCTATCAGCACTGATAGTCTCTGGAGGTATAACAATGACAACACAGATGAGTGGCCTCTCAATATTCTGCATAGACTGTGTCAAACCCTGCTATGAAGTGAGACTTCTAAGGATAATACTGTGTGCTAACAAACACAAAGGTTAGTCCTACTACAATTATTGAAGTAACCACCTTATCAGTTCCTATAGAATCCCACAATCTACTAGCCCTATTTTCAGTCCAGGCGGACAAAGGCTTTTGCAGCATCTCATGCTTCAGCACAGCTAACAATAGTAACCATTCCCTACCAAGCCCCATTAATAACACAAATACCTGTCCTAGTATTGACTGTTCAAAGCAAGAAAACCATGATTTTTAAGAGTCCAGAGGAGTCTTGGATACTCCAAGTCTATAGCTGATACATTTATCCAAGAGATGCACTTTTTTCACCTATTTCTACTGATCCATCAAGCACTATTTTAAGATTAAATGTTCCCAGAGAAATCTATAAAAAAGCAGAGATAAAAGAAACAGGACGAAGGTTTTGCTGATCAGGTCTTCGATTTTTAAAGTAGCAGAGGCATTCCATTGAGAGTTAAGGTAGTTGAAATGCACAGAAGATAGACTGTCCTTATTTTACCTTCATGCATTTAAAAAATGCATATATACCCATTTAACCTCAAGCACATATGCACCCACAGCAACACACATTTGAGTGTCACAAATAAGAACTCCAACTTTACACTTATTTTCCATGAAGACAAAGACTGATCTCTCCCAGAAGGAAAAAAGCCTCAATTACAACATCAGCTGTGTGGGATCTATTAAAACAGGCAGAAAACCTACCGCTTTACTGAGGATTGCCACATTTTGTCCTAGTTAAATAATAGATCAAGTTGGACTGCAACAATGTGTGGACAGAGCTGGAAAACCCAAGATTGTTCTAAAACAAGGATCAACAAATTTCAGTTAATACAATTTTTTTCTGGAGCCCACAGAAAGTTTAAAAAAGTGACTCTAAAATGAAATTTCTAACACAAAGTGGGCCAAAGTAAGGCTTAATTTATAGCATCTGTTAATCTTTCACAGAAAAAAAATCCCCAAAGGATTAAGAAAAGCATACCTTAATTACAGCTTTGTTTCAGTGGATATAACTGCAAGATATAGGCCACTGTAAGCATTAGATGTCCCAGTCACTATAGAATTAAAGCAAAAAAGTGGATAAAGTAAATATCTGCTACTTTGGAGGGAAAAAAAAGTAAAATTATATTAGGAATGTATTTTATAAGTACCAAAATTGTAATGAAAATTCAAATAACACAGCAAGCACTACACAGCATTTCTCCAAAGAAAGTCTTGTTTTAAGGAAAATGCCATGTAATTCCCTTCAAATTAATTTTTTTCCTTGATCTCCTCCTGCTAAGTCCCTGCAAAGACTTCAAATGAGTGGAGTTTGAGAATTTCTTTAAAAACAACTTGCTTTTGTCACCACAAATCAAACAATACTTTGATTAAAACTGATGAGCAGCTTCAAATGTCCCCATGCTTCTCATTCCAAAAGATTGAGGCAGAGTCATTTGGATGTCCTGATGAAGATTGTTATGAGAAAGAGGAAGAAGACTTAACTATTAAAATGATATCACTAAAACACTTGCGATGCAGCTCAGTAACAGTCAGGTGGTTCATCTCTGTTGAATTTTTATTAGACACATATATATTTTTAGCTTATATCATACATGAAGTAAAGCCACTTTAAGTGACACACTTTCATTGCAGGTCTTATCTTCACATTTGCCACATGATGAAAGCAAGAAGAGCTTCTGCAGTCTAGCTAACACATGACTAATTATTTATATTTATATGGCTAATACAATCTGTTTGTTTATGCTCTGTGAGTTAAAAGTGCTTTGGAGTACTTTCCACAAGACTCTCAACTTGGATAAGCTGCAAAAGATAGGATTTATACGAAATAACAATTAACCAACTACTGTTCCTAAAACCCCTATTTAAAGTAAGCATACCTAAAATCATAGAGCCCTTATTAATCTCTAACATTGAAACCCTAGGACATATTCAACTTGAGCTCCAATATTAACCTGAGAAGAATCAGTCTAACTTACTTTCCACTCAAAGTCTGCAATCTGTTTTGATATAGATTGAGGTAAGACTGTTCTCTGGATCTGTTCCCAGTATTATGCAGCCTCTGAGAGCTGCTAATTCATCTTGCTCTACTCTAATACAATGATAAAAGTCTCCTTGCATTGGAGATATCAATTTTTGCTTCGTTTCAAGATGAACAGTACAACTTGAATAAGAGACCAAGCAAATTTTTCTGACAAAAACAAGTCTCGTTTAGAAGGCACTTCCCACAAAGTCCTCCAGAAGGTAATTTTCTTTCCCCTATTATGGCACAAA